GGTGCGGTGTGCCTGCTTGTGGGAGTGAGGTCCAGTTCCCTTCTCCATGCCTCAGGACCCCGGGAGGGCACTGAGGCAATGGCGCAGTGTGCCCGGTTGTGGGAGCATGGTCCAGTCCCCTTCTCCATGCCCTGGGTCCCTGGGCAGGCCACGAGTTTCTGGCATGGTGTGCCTGGTTGTGGGAGAGAAATCCAGTCCCCTTTTCCATGCCTTAGGTCCCTGGGAGGGCCCTGAAGTGCTGGCACAGTGTGCCTGGTTGTGGGAGAGAGGTCCATTCCCCTTCTCCTTGCCTTGGGTCCCCAGGCAGGCCCCAAGGTGCTGGCATGGTGTGCCTAGTCGTGGGAGGAGAGTCCAATCCCTGGCTCCATGCCTTGGGTCACTGGGTGGAACCTGAGGTGCTGGCGTGGTGTGCCTGGAAGTGGGAGTGGGGTCCAGTCCCCGGATCCAAGCCTCTGGTTCCCAGGCAGGCCCAAGGTGCTGGTGGTGTGCCTCAGCCAGAACTAATTTTCTGTCCTTTGCTTCTAACATGGGGGAATTTCCTGTGGGAACCAGTACTTGAGCTGTGTGGTTGAGCTAAATTGCTACTTTGTTGCTGTTCCCCTAGGGAAGGCCTTTTGTGCAGCTCAGGGTTTAATGGTTGATCTTATATACTTATACTTCCAGCTCTCCAGAGACCTGGTGGATCTGTGTTCTGTAGAATCTCTGATCTGGGCCTGAATTTTTTCATCAATATGCACCCCATGCAATTCTGCATTCCTGGCCCTTCTCCTCTGAGTGGTCCTGTGCTGATTGGGGGGCCGGTCGGCTGTCCTTGCTGTGTCCCAGTGTGCTCCCGGTGTTCCCATCTCCCCACCACCCATGCTCCAAACACTTCCCATGGGATGGGCCCTGCGCGGGTCCCTTGCAATGACTCACCAGCCTCTGAATGGCTCCCTTTTTTCAGTTGTTCTGGCTCCTCGCTCCTGTATGGGTCCATGGGAAACCTATTAGTGGTCTTGCTGTCCTGGGGGCCACCAAGACCCTCTTCTCTTCTGCTGCCTCCAAGTAACTCCATCTGAAGGGCACAGCTGCAGCTTCTGCCAGCTCCTGCTCCATGCACTCATCAGCTCAAGCCTTAAAGCAGCCACAGCCTGAAATGCTCAGAGCAGCTTTTTCTTTCTCTCATCATAGTTTCTCCCACCTTCAT